CTCTAGATTTAACCAAGCGATTCATGACCCTTTTCCTCCCCCTTTCCCCCCCCCATTTTTTATTTTTTTTTGAGTATGACTTGAGTAGCCTGAGAAAAACTGGGACAGCGTTCAGGTTTCTTTAATTCCTACATAGGCATGGTCCGACTTCCCTATTTTCCTAGTGGCTTAACCTTTCAACAAGAAAACGACACCCCGGTCAAGATTTAATTCTTTCGCGAGATAAAATGTCCCTAGATCAGTTTTCATCATAAGAATTTCCTTCTATTACGGCTTCTCTTCCTACCTCTTGGAGAGAAGGGGAGGTGGAGAAGGTGAAAGGGAGAGAGAGAGAGGTGGAGAAGGTGAAAGGGAGAGAGAGAGAGATGCAGAAGGTGAAAGAGAGAGAGAGAGAGGTGGAGAAGGTAAGAGGCGAGAGAAGAAACTTCAGCTAGGACTTCTTCTTCTTTTTTTTGTTGCTGCAATCTCGATTTATAAGCAATTGGAAAGATATTTCAACATGAAGTCCAATTTTATTTTTTTTTATTTTTTTTTTAACAAGATCTCAAGTTTTTCTATTTTCTGCCAGAAGTCGTTCAGAGGGAGAGAGGGAGTAGGGAAAGGAGTGGGAGACGAGGAAAAAAAAGTTGGGGAAGTTTTTTAAAAGGTTAGGGTTTTATTTACTTCCAAGTTCAGTTCTTAATGAAAGCAATATCTACTTAGGAAATAGTTGATCATTGGAGAATTCTCATATTCCTTGCAGTTTCAGAAATATCACAAGATCGGGTCTCATGCCAGCTCCTCTCACTTTTCCCCCCCCCACCCCTTCTCCTTTTCTCTCTCTCTCCAGCGAAACATCATCTACTCGAAAAAACGACAGCGACTTAGAACAACTAGAGATCCATGATCCCCCACTATTTCTAAAATTCTTTGAGAGATTTGCCCAGGTAGCATGAAACGAAAATTGAGCACAGAGTCAAATTCCTGACAAGTCTTCCACGCATATGACAACTACTCGACTCTATTTCGTTATCAGGTCTTGTCCTCGTGGCGAGGTTCCTCTTCATCGCGGCTCCTCTTCCTTCCGCCTGATTGCTCTCGAGGTCCGCCTTCCGTTATTTCGAAGAAGAGTGAAGAAAAGACTTCGCTTCTCTCCGGGCTGATTCCATTCCAGGCCTCTTTCAACCGCAGATTTCCTCCTTCTCCATTTCGGTATATTTTCGCAAAATCAATTCCCGCCCTCTCACAATCCAGACTCGTTATCCAGGCTCCTTCGCCATATCGGTAGAGGGTTTCGAGCTGCATAGCCTTACGTACAGTCGGATTGTATTTCAGAAGCTCACAAACCAAGACTTCTCTCATTCTGTCGACACCTTCCCCTTCCCATTTCTCCGGTTCAAACCCTTTGATGAGATGTTCAATCGAAGGAAAATTCATGTTGAATCTTCCCACGCACCCGATGATCCCTCCTAGGGCCATAAATTTACATATTGCCATTCCAAACCACTTACTAGCCTCCTTTCTGCTCAACTTTTTTACTCGCTTGATCTCCTCTTGGTTCAAGCCGATCATCGATCTTCCACTGTTTTTCTCTCTTGCCAGGAAGGTCAAGAGTTCTCCTAATGCCCAGTGATCCAAAGCTTTGAAGATAACATTTTTGTCTACTACTTCTATCTCTCCTCTTCCACTTCATTTGGTGATTACACAAAACGGTTTCGTGCAAATAATTTTGACAGAACTGCAATCGCACGTTCTTTTCTTAATCTGAATTTGATCCCGAAGCTGGCACGGAGCTTTCTGAAGTCCCAACTTCTAAAAATGTCCGCTTTCGTCAGAGGAGAAAGCGTTCCACATTCTCGATCCATGACGTGGATGTTATTAAACTCCCCTCCGAAATACAAGATACTCGTCATTCTTTCAGTTGAAAGATTCAGTTCTCTGATGTCGTGAGCAAGTTGGTCCTCGACTTCGCAATCGAAAACGTCGTACTCCGGCTTTGGCACAACCAAAGTCCAATCCGGTGATGTTCCCGTCATGGCGAAGGCAAGACTCGTCATCAGTTCGAGTAATCGCTGATCTTCAAAAGCAGTCCAGAGAGAGCGAGAGAGAAACTGCCTCCGTTCCGGCTAGTTCGGCTGTTTGAACGATTTGCTTTCATAACTTTTAACCATAGTCCTGCGCTATCCGGGCTAATCCCTTGCCCGCCTTTCTCTTTTGAAGCTACGATCTTACTCTTTCCCCCAAGAATATCATTGCCTTCATTTACTCAGTCCACTCGGATGATTATCCCCTCCTTGATTCAAGTGAGACAATCCAACCCAGTGTTCACTACTCATCCTCTATTTGCTAATTGTCGTCCTCTAACGTTTTCTCTGAGAAACTTCTCGATGAAGAATACAACCAGAATTGCGTGCTCAAGGTAAGTAGGTTCACCAGATCCGACCTTCCTAGAAAGAGTGGACAACTCAAATTAATGCTCTTAGGTAGGAAGCGAAGATAATCCTATTGCACAAACAAAGCGAATTCTTTGCGTCCATCACCAAGTAAGTCGAAAGAGAAAGGTAATTTTCGAAAAGGGATCGAAGAATAAAAGGAAATAAAAAAAGCAAATCGAACTCAACTGAATCTCCGGACAAATTAGTAATGCTGCCCTGATTTCATTCCTTCCCCTGCGTCAGCCCTATCCTTCCGGTCGATCCAAAATACCAAACGGCCAGACAAATTGCTGCGCGGAAGAATTCAGGTGGTCAGTCCGAATTTCCCACACCTAAACCTTCCCGAGCTAAATGCTCTTCAATCAACACCGCGAAAGAAGGTACAAGGATCAAATTCAAATTCCATGTCCGCCTCCATATCCTAATTTTAAAATAAGAAATCAGCAAATCGAGGGATGATTAGTTAGAGAAGAAGGATAAATTAGAAATAAGTCGTAAGTGAGGAAAGAAAACGGATTAGGAACGATAGAGAAAAGTCAAGAAGTCGTTGCCCCAAACTCTCTATCACAGCCTGTTCTGCCCAACAGTCCTCGAGAAGGTGCGTCGAGCTCTATCAGTTGCGGTTTTACCATAGGTCTCCATTTCTTCCACTCAAGAATTCAAGAACCTCTCAAAATCTTATCAGTCTACCCGATGGTTTCGAATGCTAGGTGAGTGAAATCCCTTGACCTTCAGGCTCCAACCTCTTAATCCCCTAATTTTGTTTACTCGAGTTTCTCCATTCGCCTATCGTTAACGGAGAAAGCTCCGGTGCAAAACCTGCCCTCTCTCCCGTCCCTCTCACATTCGTTCGTGATCTTCCCTCCTAGCACGCAACTCCCGATTGCCTCAACCCGGCTATCTCCGTAAAGAGACTCCCTGACCTCTGACCCAATCCTAGCACTAACGTTTGCGTCCTTCGTTCAACTTTTCTCAACATGGAGCCTTCGCCATCCCAGGCGCAACCTGAGTGTTACCTTTCCCGACGCCACTCTCAGCTGCTTTCGCTTCCTGCCTTGCTTTCTTCTGGTATGGAGCCCCTCGCGGCCGGCCGAAGCCGGCCGCAGGTCGCTCCTTCGAAAAAACCGTCACTCTCGTTTGCTACTACTAAATACTAATTCAATCAGCCAACCTACTTTCGGGAGCCGCCGACCGCTTTTTCACTCTTCCCACTAGCTCCCGAAAATTCCTCCTAGCTAGACCCATCGTTTCCTTAACGTGGTATTAATCACGTATAAATTCAATTACCGCACATCAGGCCTTCCACTCTTACGACGCAGCTCCTCTTCGATAGAGCGTCATAAAGACGGACTCCAACCCGAAGCGCTGTCGGCAATCGAGTATTTGCGGGGTACTTGAGTAAGAGGCCTAACCTCCACCTTCCTTCCTTTAAATAGGTCTCGCTTCCCTCATTGTGAACTCGACTTCCTATTTCACTGAACCTACCCCGCATTCAAGCCAGTTTCGATCCTCTTGCGAAATAGGGAAAAATCTCTAAGTCCGGTACTCACAACTTGTCGCTCACCCGTGCAGGAACGTGCCACTCAGCTCGGCGTGTGCAGCAAGCGGAGAAATGGAAAATCAAAGCGTGATGAGTGCTCTTGGCTATTATCCATTTATAGCAAAGAGTACTCATCCAGGGACAGCCCCAACGGAGTTTGCCCCTCTTCTATTCAAGAACCCAGGTGAGATCTCTGACCCTGAACTGCAGATTGGGATGCTGAAGTGCCGCCAAAAAACCCAACCAATTAGAAATCCTGCCCTACGCCCCTTAGTGGGGACTCTTAGTTTTCTTTCTTTTTTTTTCTTCTTTTTTTTCTTTTCTTTTCGCCGGCCTCCGACCCTGCCCCGAGCCCCATGTTTTCAGGAGTAGGCTACTAGACGGACTTTGCGTTTGCCTGGGAAAGGTAGTGGCCCATTTTCCACCGATAGAACGAAAAAATGACCGCAAAGAGTTTCGGGGAGTCGTCGCAACTTTTCATGACCCGTCATGACCCCTCACTACCCATTTTATACCCATCACCATACGATTTATTCTTCCCCAAAAAGGAAAACGGGGTCGCCGTCCACAACAAACCCGAACGACCTAATCAAACGACCACTAGACCTACACTACTATGACCCCTCGCAACTACCGGTCCGTCTCCTAGCCGCCACCGCACCCTTGCCACTTTTTCCCTAAACCCCACAAAACGACAAAATAACACTCGCAGTAAGCCCAGCCTCTGGCTGCGAACACCCTCATTTTGACCGTCTCAGGCCGGAAACATACCTTGTATACGTTCATTTCCAGGGTGCGTTATGTTTGGGGGTAGACGGTGATCTATCCTTCCCCGATGTTGGACACCGCAAGATCGCCTCACTACTCTCTCTTTTTTTTTTTTTTACCCCCTCCCTTCCTTCCGCAGGATCACCGATTGAACTTCTCACAGCACCCATCCCCAGCGGCAAAGCCCCTCACTACATTCACTACACGGCACGGCCCCCGGGGCTAGGTCCCACTTACACGAATTATGCGATATTGACCGTAGATAGCAGAGATCAACGGCAAGGTGCCACTTGCCCCCGGTCCCTGTCTTCCCTTCCTTATGCGCCCCCGTAAGTCACACGGGCCTACCATCCCACCTTCCACCTTCCCACCTTCCCACCTCCCCACCTCTCCACAGTCCGATGCTTGGAGTTGGACTGCCGCCAATAGCTGCTAGCGAAGCTGGGTGGGAATTGGGAGAAGCGTGAGTTGCCTATGGGGTGCAGGTGAGAGCTTGAAGCACACCTACACCTCCTTCTCTCTCCTCTCTCGGTTGTTCATGCCTGCGGGCTTCCCGCCTTTTTCGACCCCGCCTGTCTTGGCCGCGTCTGCTGCTCTTTTTTTTTATGTGTCTTTTTTTTCTTCTGAATCCATCTATTCTGTCTCCACTCTTGTGTGATCCTACCGTCTTCCCCCGAACACAACGCACCCTCATTATGGCTGCACCGGACCGGAAAGATAGCTTGCATACATTCATTATCAGGGTGCGTTATGTTCGGGGGAAGACGGTAGCCTCCTCATCCTATCGAATGTCCCTCCATCTCCTAACATCATCCCTAGTCTCATCAAAGTCTTCCGTGTCGCTAAAACAGCAATCCTACTCTTTTTTTTTTTGTTTGTTGTGGGGGGAGGAGGGGGGGGAAAGAAGGGGGGGGGTGGTGAGAAACAATCCTTTTCTCATTACGCTGTTTTCCGCATTTCATCAACAACTTGTACGAAAAAAAAAAAGGGAAAAAATACACACAATGGCTGTCGGTGGGGCCGCTGCCCAGAAAGATATGAGGATGAGAAATGATAAGTGGAGACGCTCAGAGTCGGACGAAGCCCAGTGAGCGAGAACATGTCCGGCCTCGCCGCATTACTGGCAATATCAAAGGGTTAAAAGTAAAAGAAGGGATAATTGGAACAAAAAAAAAAGAAAAAAAAGAAAAAAAAAAGTAGAAGAAAACAAACATACAGTTATAACTAAGCATCCAGTGTCTACTACGATCTGGACTTAAAAAAGAAAAGGAAAAAAAAAAGAATAAAAAAGACAACAAACAGTAATTAATAGCGAGTATATCTTTCCACTCTAATGTTTAAAAGTGAATAAAAGAAGGGATCATTGAAAAAAAAAAAAAAAAA